GTTGATTGCTTTGTTGCTCTCAGACTGAGGCTACTGCCTCCGACATATCTATGATTTAGTTGTTCTGCTTTTGCTGTTCTTAGGACTTATACACTAGTCAGTTGTTACCAGACTGAGGCTAGTGCCTCCAACATTCTAGGATCTAGTTGTYAMTACTTKTTGCTTTCCTAGGACATGTATGTTAGTTAGTTGCTCCTACTTTCACTTAGGCTGTTAGCTGTGACATTGCTGTTTTGTGACATTGCTGTTTTGTGACATTTTATATCCTAGGTTGCATCGCATGGACTCAGCATGGAGCTTGYTCCRCATCCTAGAMTACTCAGGTTTTCTTTTCTTTGGTAGAGTTCCGCTTCTTGGCGGAAGCATGTTTGTATCTAGGCGATCCATCACAGGCCGAGGATCGTGTAGCGGACCTCGGGTTGCCCTGTGAGACCAGCCCCTTGGCCTGTTCTCACAGGCCTGTGTTATATTCGGGGTAGGACAGTCCAGGCCGGTACCTCTGTCGGTACCAGMCAGTCCAGTCCAGTCCCGTCAGTCCGCTGGGGTATACCCCAGCCATTGTCTGTTTTCATGCTCATTCCTCACTTGCACATTTTGGAGTACGTGCGTTGGAGTCTTGCGTGGGGAGCTGCGTTGTGCCATCTTGCTCCCCCTTCTTCCTCCATCTCCATCTCTGTCACTAGCGGAGCACCACACCTGGTGGGTCCGCTACAGCCGAAGCCTAGCATGTCTGTTTGTATACTAGAGTCCCTGAAACTCTATTAGGGGGGCAGCTGTGTTTGGGATGCCTGTGTCTCAGTGTTTCCCTAAGGTCACAGACATTCATCTTCAAGTTGTTGCTTCCTGGCTCTTGATGGTGGTGTTGTCCCACAGTCTCCAGGGTCTCCCAAAATTCCCATATGATGTGAGCGGGTAATAGTCCGCTTTAATCTTAACCGTGCTGCAACCATGGGTTCTGTGTTGCCGCACGCCCTGCTGAGCCTGCTCAGCCTGCTGTGTTGGTATACGCCTCTGACACCTCTGACGGCCTGCCTGCCCGCTTGCCTTGCTATGCGCTGTGCCTTGCTGTGTAGTTCTCTGCCCTTCGCCGTGTCCACCCGCTTGCGGCTTGCCTTGCTTCCTTTCTTTTTTTTTTTTAAACAGAACTCGATGCTCCTTTCTATTAGTGGGAAGATGCACCTGTTGGGAATTGGGCAATTTATAGGTCGAGTCTAGGCGGCAGCTGCAATAAATGCAGCCAAGAGTACCCAGGCTGTGACTACCTGCTTGCCTTGTTATATGCTGCTTAGTGCACATTGCCGAGCTGCGTGCTTTTCTTTCTTTCTTTTCCGTCAAAAATAAATAAATAAATAAATAAATAAATAAATAAATAAATAAATAAAAAATCACGATGCAGCTCTTCTATCCTGGTGGTGGTGCCACAACCACCGGGATGGAGGGTTGCAGTTACCAATCTATTGGTGCTGCGTACCTTTCCGTGTTCCTGCATGCTATGCGTTGGAATAAGTTGTTTTGTACATGCCTGTGCTGTATGCCTTGCTGTGTTTGTCCACGCGCAACAGGGTGTGAGAGCATGGTCACACTACAGCATACTCTTCTTTGTTTTTTTTTGAGAAAATTGTTGAAATGCCCCTAAAAAATGTTTTTTTTTGGTTAGATAACCCCAAAGTGCAGGGGTATGGTGAAATGCCCCTAAATTATACATATGCCCCTGCCTCGGCCATGAGTAACTTCTCAATATGCACCTGGCTGTGGACTGCAGGACCTGCGCACTACTTTCACGTCTGAACAGGCATTTCGTTAAAACTTAAAATTGACATTTTTTACTATTTTCACGAAATTGTCTTGCAAAAAAGCAAGGTATTTTTTAGCATTTTTTTGTGCCGACCACATCAGACCATTGATGGTCCGGCGTCCCCGGCGTCCCGGACTATCTGATCTGCCTTGATTTTTTTTCTTTTTTTTTTGACCCTCGGATGTATTTTGACGGTACTCTACATCGAGATACCTCAGAATCTGACGGTATGGAGTCCCCAGGGGCCAGGACTCCAGACCATCAGTGGTCCAATGTCGTGGGCCCAATTTCGTGAAAATAGTAAAAAATGTCAATTTTAACGAAATGCCAGTTAAACTTTCTGGCCCTCTACCGCATAGGCATAGTCTCTCCCTGGCCCACAGGGAAATCTCTCTCTCTCTCTCTCTCTCTCTCTCTCTCTCTCTCTCTCTCTCTCTCTCTCTCTCTCTCTCTCTCTTCCCCTCCTCTCCGCCCACCCCCATGTATCCTGGCTCATTACTCACTTGCCGGCTGCCACATGGCAAGGGGTGCGATGTTCTGAATCCTTCCGAAGCAAAAAAGAAACCAATAAAAGAAGGATGAACACTCACCCCCTTTACTTTAACACCTCTCTCTCTCTCTGTGTATATATCTATTTATCTGTTTGTGACGATATATAGATATATATCTATATATCTGTTTGTGACGATATATACATACAATCAGTCAGGGGATTCTGCAGACTGTTGAGGGTTTAGCCTCCTGATGAGTCGACAAAACAGTTTGTCACAGCCCCTCGTTTGTTGTCCTCTTCTCCCTCTCTGCCTATGGTTTACCGGGAAGCTCTGTTTGACTATATATATATGGGTGCAACGGGCATCGCTCCACCAAACATTCAAAATGTATCTGGTGCTGGAATTTTCCAGATAAATTTTAACGGTTGCAACAGTCAGAATGTATCTGGTCCACTGCCAGCACCCGCTGCATGACAAGTGTTGAAGAGTGGAATGACACCCAAGCTCTCTCTCTCTCTCTCTCTCTCTCTCTCTCTCTCTCTCTCTCTCTCTCTCTCAACTGTTACAGTTGATGGGACCGCACTGAGCGCGTGCACTCTCCATCTTGTCGAGATGTGCGCATTGATAGGAGCATACAAAAACATTAAATATATATTTCTGGCATCTGCACAAGTGTCACAGGCCCCGGTAGATGCATATGGGAAAGATGCCGGTCCAATCGACGAGTGGAGTATTTCAAGAAGTTTGACAGTTGTGAGGAGGGCATTTCCCATACCCCAGCACTTTTGGGGTATCTGACAAAATACCCCGAGTTTGAGGGGCATATTTCTTTTTGTTCAATGGTCAGCATTGGGTCTGCTATTGGAGGTCATATGAGCATCCTCCAATGGTAGGTACACCTGGAATGTGTGTGGCTCTATTCTTTTGGTGGGGAGCTGTATCTTCAGTTTAGGACTTTCATGGATTTTTATTTATTTATTATTTTTAAAGAAAAATCCCCCGTGACAACAGATAGGAATGGTGATACTAGCATACACTCGTAACACTCCTAGTCTCCTACTTGTCTTGCATGGGGCTCCAGTCTATTGGTGGGGAGCTACACCTGCCGGAAAGCGGGCCGAGCTTTTCCTGAGATACATTGTTGATTTGGTAAAACAGCACTTGCTGGGAACTGCGATCAGGGTTCCTCATGAACTTTGCTCATGATGCCACTGATACTTTCATTAAAAAAAAAAAAAAAAAAAAAAAAAACTTTCCTAGTACTGATAATAAGATATAGTCTCATATAGATGATGAAGATACTGATGATGATGATGATGCTCATGATGTTAATCTATGATAATATATATTATATACTATATAGAAAGCTCTGAACTTCATCAGCAAACCTGTCCTCACAATTCATAACCAACTCCTCGCCTCCCCTATACCAGACGCAGCAGTCCAAAGACACCATCATCCTCCAATACCAGCCATAAACTGTCTTGTGCAGGCACTGCAGGGGTAGTTTTATAGGGTCTTGTGCAGGGGGCCGATTTCACGCTGGCTAGTTGACTCATTTTATCGTTCTTTTTCTCTTTTTTTCTTCTTCTTCTTTTTCTTTTTCTCTTTTTTTCTTTTTCTTCTTTTTCGTTTTCTTTTCCTTTCTTTTTCTTTTTCTTTTTCTTTTTCTTTTTCTTTTTCTTGGTTTTCCTTTTCCCGTAACGGGGTGTTGGGGTCTTATTACGTGGTGGGTTGACGAATTGCCTGTTGGCTGTCGGAAAGTAGGCGTCTCAAGCTCTGCTATTACTTGGTATCCGATGGTTACTTTTCTCTGGTCTTGGTCCTGATCCCTTTCTCGGTTCCTGTATCCGGGTCTCTTTCTGTCCAACGGCTCTGGTCTTCTGGAAGCCCCTCCTCTTTGTTTCTCCTATTGTGACTTTTCTGGCTTCTTCGACCAAAGCACGTCTTCCGATACTGTCCTGTGGCATACTGCGTAGCCACACGGGCCCTGCAGGGCCCGTCCCGGACATTCAGTCTAAAAGCCTAAAACTTAGGGCTTACAGGCCCCGTTCGTTTCAGCCTGGATGCTGAAAAACGAGGGCCTGCAGGCCCTACCTCGTTTCAGCCTATTTCTGGGTCTTTTCAGACCCAGAGTTTTCAGCCTRAAACGGAGGGCCATTTTCAGGCCCTCATTGTTTCGACCTGCCCCTAAGACTCAGGCACGGAAACAGGGATGCGGAACAGGCCCAAAATAGCCTGTTCCTCACGTGCTCGAGCAGGAGCTGCAGCTGCAGCCCCTGCCTCCCTTCGGCAGGCTCAAGAGGCACACCCGTAGTACATAGGAGGTTCCCATGCACTTCACGGATAGGTAGTTCAGTAGGCACGAGGTAGTCTTCAGGATATCGGCCGCAGCACTCAGGAGGAGCGCTGCAGTAGTCTTCAGCGCTAGTAGTAGTAGCGCTAGCTGTAGTCTTCGGCGCTGGGCGCCATAGCTGTAGCTGTAGTCTTCAGTGCTGGGTGCCATAGCTGTAGCTGTAGTCTTCAGCGCTGGGCGCCATAGCTGTAGCTGTAGTCTTCAGCGCTGGGCGCTGGTAGGTGGTAGATCGTAGAGTGGGAGAGAGAC